ATTTTATAGAGCTGATAATTGAGCACAATTTCAAGGAATCTATAGTAGTTTAGTCATTGACTACTAACTTAGTCATTGACTAAGGGAGGGGAGGCCTTTCCTAGGAGAAAGATCAGTCTCTGTGAAGGCAGAAAGGGTCAAATGTTTGGGGGTCTGAAGCAGATAATTATGGCTGAATCTGTAATGATAGTTCGGGAAGAGATGAGGCTGTGAAGATATGCAGAGGGCAGATAGTAGAGGGCCTTGGACAGTAGGCCAAGGAGTAGGCAGTAGCTGAAATCATGGGACTGAACTAGAGCACTCAAAACTGAGGTGGGGGTGAGTAGAAGGTGGCCAATCCTTGGGAAATAACACAAGTGACAGGTAGGAGGAGAATCAGGAGGGAATGACTATGTGAGACCCAAGAAGGAGTTTAAAAAAGAAGGCATTGTCACAAATATCTAATGCTGGAAGTCAAATAAGATCAGGAGGAGGTATCCATTGTCAATGGCTGTTAGGAGACTGTTGGTGACATTAGTATCCAGAGGTTCCCTAAAAAGTGTTATCTGTGGAAGTGTAATTGCTGAGGGTTAGAAATGAGAAAATGGTAATAATAGTGAACATGGAGTTCTTTAAGAAGTTTGATCTTAAAAGGAAGGAGTGAAAGGTATTAGCTAGAGAGAATGTAGATAAATAAGAGTTCCTTCTTTGGAGGAAACTTCTTTTCCTTCCATTTGTTAGCTATTGACCACAAGGTTTCCCAGTCTCTAATCTACTGATAGATGAGGGCAAGTAGTACCCTCAGGGCCTGGGAAGGAAGGGTGAGAATGCAGACCACAATGGTGATGGTAGTAGTGCTGCTGTTGATAAAATGTGCCACAGGCAGAATTTAAACAATTTGCCCCAAATCTCATAAGTATTATGTGACAAAGCTGGAATTGAACCTAATTAATCTGGAACCAGTATTCCTGCACCTAGATAGTGAGAAGAATGGGAAGGAATAGTTGTAAATAACAGTTGGTACCAGAACCCCTTGTCCATCTGATCTATACCTTACCTCTTCTGAGAAAATCCTTACTCTTCATCTGGCTTCTGACTGACAAATGCTCAGTGTGATAACTACAAGGAACACGCTTCCTGGTTTCCATTTCCACTGGTAACAACTACTCCCTTATGGTTTCCTTCAAGAGTTTTTCTCAGACTTCGAGGTATTCTAAAAGGATTTTTTTATTGTTGAAAATAAGGAAATAAACATGCATTTAAAACGTTCTTACTTATAGAAAGGTAAAGTCACTCTTATGTGACAATAATAGTCCTTGGGTATTTAAAAGGCTATTTACTGAGGAAAAGCAGACTTTGGCTCCTATGAACATTTAATTCCTGAAGCAAGGTTGGGCTTCTGGGGTGGGTTGAGTGGCTCCTCTGATACAGGTGTGGGGAAGGGAAATAAGAAATGGAGCAGTGGGCCGGGCGCGGTGGCTCACGCCTGTAATCCTAGCATTCCGGGCTGCTGAGGGAGCAGGATCACTCGAGGTCAGGAGTTCGAGACCAGCCTGAGCAAGAGTGAGACCCCGTCTCTACTAAAAATAGAAAACATTAGCCAGGCATGGTGGCGCATGCCTGTAGCCCCAGCTACTCGGGTGGCTGAGGCAGAAGGGTTGCTTGAGTCTAGGAGTTTGAGTTTGCTGTGAGCTAGGCTGATGTCATGTCTAGCCTGGGCAACGGAGTGAAACTCTGTCTCAAAAAATAAAAATAAAAAAGAAAAAGAAATGGAGCAGTGTCTGAAGATGCCAGTCAAGGAAGCAAGTGCTATGGTATGGATGGGATGGCCGCAGGAATGAAGGGAACTGAGAGATTGACACCTGAATACAGTTTTAACCTGGTGTGTCTATATGTGTTATATGATTGCTCTTTGGCACTTAATTTTGATGTCATATATTGAATGGTTACTCTTTCCTTTTTAGTTAAATTAGTTTGAAAAGTATTTTATTCTAGGTGTTGGGTATATAGCAGTAAGCAAAATTGAATCATTGACTTTGAAAAGCTTGCTTTCTAAACTGAAAATTTTTTTTCATGTGTAAAATTTTTTATACTTTTTTTACTTTGCCCATACATGTATATATGCCATACATTGAGGAGTTTTTATAATAGAATATTATATTTTAGGGGAATATTTGAAGTTAGAGCTTTAATTTTCAAATGCCAAAATTTTTGGAGCAAATATTGTTTTCATTACATTTGCCATGTTCCACAAAATTACTATTTTATTTGCTACAACTTATTTCTTATAGAGTATACTAGTTTTGGAGGTATAGCATTGACTTGCAGGTTGAAAATATCTTTCATTTATTCGGTAAATATTTTTTGAGAATCTCCTATACTACTAGGTTCTGTCTTAAACCAATCTGACACAGGAATTTGAACCCAGATCCTAGAGCCCAATATATTCCTGTTCTTCATGGTATTCAGAGTAGGGAACTTAGAACTGTAGAGATCAATAGATTGGTCAAGAGAATCAGTATTTATTTGAATTTAGTAACTAGGAAGGGGGGTCATTAGTGACCTTGGAAAATAATTTCTTTGAAATATGTTTGGAAGAAGAAAAGCTCATTACAGGGGCTAAGGAAACAGAGTCATAAGGAAATTGAAGTGTCAAGTATAGGTGATTCTTCATGATATTTTGGTAGTGAGCAGGAGGAGGGAATTCACTCAAGCACTTGAAAGTATACCTGAAACAGGGAGGTAATTTCAAAATAAGGGATATGTGACAGTTGTAAGAGAGAGCAAGAAGTTGGGGATCAAGTGATTAAATACCTTGAAGAGAGAAGAGATAATGGAAACCATAATATCCCATAGAAACCAAAGAAGATATTCTTAAGGCATAAGTAAAAGAGAATTAGACTTAGAAAAGTAGAGAGAAAACTTTTTGACACACAAGAAAATGATGAGAATGATTGAAAATAAAATTATTTTAAGATGGAGAAATGGGATTATTAAGGTCACTCCCCAAAAATAGTCATTCATCTTCTCATAAAATAGAAGTCATTTGCTGAATGGAATAGAGAGAGGGAGATGGAAACTTAAATAAGGAAAAGTGTTCTGCCATGGAAACATACTGGAAATCAGTAGTTGCAGCAGTGACTCCCCAGTTGAAGTTAGATGTTCTAAAGCAAGGAGGAGTTGGCAAATGCCTGTAGCCTGAGAGCTACATTCAGCCCATGTAGCCTGTGAGCTAAGAATGGTATTTATATTCTTAATTGGTTGTAGAAAAACAAAGAAACAAAAGAACATGTGACAGAGACCTTAGATGGCCTTCAAAGCCTGAGATAGTTACTCTCTGGCCCTTTATTGAAAAAAATTTCTAACCCTTGTATAGCTCAGGACAAGAGAAAGTGAATGATAGTGTGACTCAGGTGGGAACTGACATGCCGGACATGATCAAAGATCAAGGGGTGGTAAAGGAAGGGGATACTAGTTAGAGGTTTGTTGGTGGAGGTGAACAGTTGGGTGCAGGTTGAGTAGGGAATAAAGCAAAGCCAGAAGAAAGCCAATGGATTGGATAAAAATGGAATGGGCTTGTGACTAGATGTCATAATGAGAATGTAAAGCATGGTCAATTGGTTTAAACAAAGATGACAGTTACGAAGTTCGAGAAAGGGGACATGATTGGTCATCTTGGAGATAAAAGAGTTCCAGAAATTGCCATGTATAACCATTTCAGGGACTAGCTGAAATCTCCATTGATAAGGTCAGGATGATGAAACATGATGGTCATTCCTTAAGATGATGACAGGGAGACTATGTACGGGGAAATAATGTGAGTTAGATTATTGGAGTTTATGAAAAAAAGTAGAAGTGAGCCTAGAATGTAAAGTAGATGATGGTAATGAGGTAAGAAGAGGCTGGTGTAAGTAGGTAAACTACTTACAAATCAGGGGGAAGATAGTGGTGGCAATGAAGTGGTCCTCTGTTTGCCCTAGCAGCTGAGGGTAGGCTATGCCTTCCTCTTGGTTTGGTAAGTGGTAGAAGGTAGGCATGAAGGCTGCAGTAAAGATATGCTATTCTCTATCACAGGTCATATTTACACATACATAGTCTTTAGAATATGGGAGAATCAAAGCAGTAGATTGGTTTTAGGTTGTAAATGAAGTAGTTGGTTTTTGCATCGATGTATAAATGTACATACTCATAAAGAATTTTTGTTTGGCATTAGCACTTAAGTTTTTACAATGCAAAATTCATTTTTATATTGAGATTATTAAGGAATTAATACTAAAAATATCTCTTTTTACTTAACTCTGAACATAGACAAAAGGAACTTGGCAGGTAACCTTCACTCAAAAATATTACTACTGGGCTACTGGGTAACTAGTGACTACAAATCACTTGGGCATGATAGTGTTCTTTCCATAACAACATTATGTAGGATCTATATTGTAGTATGTGAAACTTTATTATTAGACATATACATATATATAGGGAAATAATATATTTTAGCCTTAAATGTGTACTTTTAATTTGTCGGTTATACCTCAATAAAGCTGAAAGAAAAAAATCAAGAGCAAAGGAGTCTCCTGCCCTCTGAAAGATGAAACAGGAGCCCTAGGCAGTTGCTTTGCTATGTTTTTCTATTGATGTGCAAGACAATTCCTGTATAGCATAATTGGATAGTATTTTCTGAAGGAACAACTCTTTTCTGTGCTAAGGACTAAAAATCTGGGAAGCAGCCAAAAGGCAAATTGCTGGAAATTTTCACTATGCTCAAAGTTACTGGTTCCTCTTATAAAAACCTCTTTATTTTTTTTCTGGAGAATTAAACTGCTTTATTTCCTGATAATATGAAATGTTAAAATACCAAAAACTTCATTTTAAATAGTATCTTTATTTTAGGTGCTTTCCAGTGAATAACCTTTGGGAATGGTTTTAAAGGTCAAGTAAAACTTACTTTGAATCTTAAGAAGACAATGCCTTAATTGTGTCATTTGCTTTAATATTTTTTGTTGTGATTTTTTTCCCCTCAGTTCCTATTGTAAAGAAAATAGCAAAACCACAGTCTTCTCCTACCAAAGAGACCCAGCATTCAGTGCAGTCTCCACAGAAAACTGCTCTAGTATTACCAACACAGCAGATCAAGAAAGCAGGTCGAACTAAACCAGCTGGACATACTTCAGTTTCCAAAAAGGGCAGTTCTGTTAAAACTACCACACCAAGGAAAAAAGGGGTAAACTCAGGAAAAAAGGTTAGTTGTATCTCCTGCTAATTTGTATTGTAGGTCTTTATGGTGCCTTAGTATTTATAATATACAATTTATGAATTTACTAAGAGTATGATGAGGGACTTTAGGAATGTGCTAAGAGTATATAGACTCTTTAGGGTCTCATACAACTATTGAGAGATTGCTATTTCTCTGGGTAAATTTAAAACTTTTATGGTATTTTCTACTTCTTTAAAAGTACATTGAAAATATCACATATGTGATTTATGTTCAGGCTAGTTAATTTAAAAACTCAGTATCCTTTAAAAATCAATGTGAAATGAATTTTACTATACATAAATTATACCTCAAAAAACTAGTGTTCGGGGGTGTAGGAATCAATTTGATACATTCAGTAATGTTGGAGTCATATCCTGTCTACCTTCAGCTAACTGAAGACACAAAAGAGTGAATGGAAACAGACAGATTCTGGTGGCAGGGGGAGTATATACTAGGAGAAGGGGTGTTATACAAAGTGAGTTTCCATTTTTGTGGTTTTTAGCCTTGGATCAAGTGCACTTTGTGTAGCATATGAGGCAGCAGGGGTATTAATAGAAAACATTCTGAAGAATGTTTCAAATAATGTTTCAAATGATCTAAAAAAAAGACAGGACAGGAGGAACAGAAGAGCAAAACACAGAGAGACAAATAGAAAGCAAATAATAAATGGTAGGCCCAGGCCCAAACATTTTAATAATTGTGTTAAAAGTTAGTAGACTAAACTCTCTAATTAAAAGGCAAATTGTCAAAATGGATTTTTCAGAATACCCAAGTATATCCTATCTATAAGAGATATACTTTAAATATAAAGACAGAATCTTCTCAGATCTGTTAGAGCTGACTGAATTAGATTTCAGCAGTATTACCTTAATAAACATTCCTGAGTTCAGCCATCTGATATCAGTATCTACAACATTTCTGTTTTGCTTCAACTAATCTTTGCTGTATGGAACAAAATAATACCATTTTGATTTTAAAATATATTGATACTGGTATTTTTATTTAAAAACATTTAAAATTTATAAAAATCAAAAGTCAAAACTATATATTTCAAATATATAGTTATAAACATTAAAGAATCAAGCAGATTATTCTAATATAAATCATAGATGAAATGTTTAAATAAAATTTAAAAGTTAATAGTGAAATTTAAAGTAAAATAATATTTTAAATGCATTTTAAAAATTAACATGCATTTTACAGCTGTTGAAAAATTCTTTGTGATTAGTTGGTATAATGGTGAAGCTATAAGATAACTCAAGTTTCTTTTGACTCCTTTATTTTATGATTCCAATGCTAATCTGATAATTTTGAAGAAATCTTCTTGAAAACATTATTTAGTGGTGGGGATGGAGAAAGGGACCGGTGTTACAATCTTTTTCATAATAAACTGTATTGTCTCAAAGGCAACATTTTAGTTCACTTTTGCCATCTTTAGCTTCATTATTTCTTCATGAAAAGATGAAGATTTTCATGCAGTTACCTATTTCCCTGTTTCAGTACTTGTTTGTTCATAGTTTAGTTATTCAGAATCTTTAAAGTAAAAAAAAATCATTCTTGCCACAGATTCATTCCTTGTCAGCTGGCGTTTTCTTTCTCCCCTTAAGGATTCTAGTATACAAGCACATTTTCTAAATAAATGTCCCTTTGTTCAATTTGCAGTGTTAATGCAAACCTACTATCTTGGTATATCTCAAGTCAAAGGATTCAGATTTCAGATTTTTTAAATATTGAAATAATGAGATTATCAACACAATAATTGTATTTCAGTACTTAAAAATAGTATCATTGACTAGAATGCTGTGAACTCAAATGACAATCATTAATTTAAGCAAATAAATTACAACAATATTGAATGCTTTCCTATTTTTTACTCCTTTGTCACTGCCTTTTAAATGTCCTCTATTAATACCTTTTCTAGGCACAAGAGTCCCTTTTCTGACATTGGAGAGTCATGTTTGAAGGTAGCTCCTAGAAAACCCCAAGAGTTGATGTAAAATAAATTAAATGTTAGTGATGTCTAACAATGCCCAGAAGACATTTGGTTCTTGTATACAGTAAGCATAATTTTGTATAGACTTCAGCAAGTCACTTATAATTTTGCCAAAATTATTTTATGTATTATGAAGAAATGCAGGCTAGACACAGTGAAGACTAAGTGAGCAACTGCTTTCTAAAGACAAGCTCTGTCTTTTGCCTTGCTGGGATTTTGTTTTTCTCTATTGGATATATTGCTCCAAGCTAGAGATTTAAAGACTTTTCTTTAGCAATGTGAAAAAAATTGTGTTACAAGGAACCTCGAAAGAAAAACAAAAAACAAGTTTTACAGAGTAAACTAATTTGGCTAAGTTGTGATCAGTTGGAGCAAGGGATAGGGTAGAGAATCCTAGCCTTTTGGTCTCTTCCTCCCCTACCTGGACAGCTTGTGGGCCTCTGAGGAGCTCAGTTGGGGAAGTACTGCCATTTATGATACACAGGACTTTCCAACCTTGAGGACTTCTGATAACTGATAATTTTGTAAACCAATGATGGTCTATAATTTTCTGACTTTCTTATCTAGGAATATTTTAATGGATGATGTATACTTGTGTTCTTTTTTTCCCTTCTTTTTTAAAAACAGGAGAAATGTCTTCCTGTGATGTGTTCTACATCTTCAGCTTCTCTACATTCGCTGCTCAGAAAACGTGGCATTTCATATGATGAGAGTGCCTTTTCTGGGACATCAAAAATAGTAATGTCTACAGGTATTAGTATTTTTAAAAGAGCATAAAATTAGTGATGTTTTATTCTGTATTATTTTCAGTGTCTTTGAAGTCCTGGAAATAAGAGCAAAAAAAATGATAATAGTAAACATTTCTTTTTAAAAATTTATTTCAAAATATTAAGAGGGTATAGATGTTTTTGATACATGGCTTGAATCAGGGCTGTAAGTGTGCCCATTACCTGAATAATGTTCATTGTACCTGTTAGGTGGTGGGTTTTTGCCCTTCCCCTTCTCCCCACTCTCCCCTACTTGATTTCTAATGACTTTTACTTTCCTCTGTGTTCTTGTGTAGTCCATCAGTTCCAATTTATTAGAGAGTACATGTGGTGTTTGTTTTTCCATTCTTGAGATACTCCACTTAGGATAATGGTGTCCAGTTCCTTCCAGATTGCTGCAAAACGCATTTATTCATCCTTTTTATGGCTAAGTAGTACTCCATGGTATACATATATCACATTTTGTTAATCCACTCATGAATTGATGGACACTTGAGTTGATTCCACATCTTTGCAATTGCAAATTGCTCTGCAACAAACATTCAAATGCAGGTGTCTTTTTGATAAAATGACTTCTTTTCCTTTGAGTAAATACCCAGTAATGGGATTGCAGGATTGAATGGTAGGTCTACTTTGAGAAATCTCCATACTGTTTTCCATAGAGGTTATACTAATTTGCAGTCCCACCAACAGTGTATAAGCATTCCTTTCTCTTTGCATCCATACCAGCGTCTATTGTTTTGGGACTTTTTTTTTTTGTTGCCTAGGCTAGAGTGAGTGCCGTGGCGTTAGCCTAGCTCACAGCAACCTCAAACTCCTGGGCTCAAGCAATCCTTCTGCCTCAGCCTCCCAAGTAGCTGGGACTACAGGCATGCGCCACCATGCCTGGCTCATTTTCCTATATATATTAGTTGGCCAATTAATTTCTTTCTATTTACAGTAGAGACAGGGTCTGGCTCTTGCTCAGGCTGGTTTCGAACTCCTGACCTCGAGCAATCCACCCGCCTCAGCCTCCCAGAGAGCTAGGATTACAGGCTTGAGCCACCGCGCCCGGCGGGACTTTTTATTAATAATAAAAGCCATTCTAATAGTAAGGTGATGTCTCATTGTGGCTTTAATTAGCAGTTCCCCGATGATTAGTAATGTTGAGCATTTTTTCATATGTTTCTTGGTCACTTATCTTATTTTGAGAAGCTTCTGTTCATATCTTTTGCCTACTTTTTAATGGGGTTGTAATTTTTTCTTGCTGATTTGATGAGTTTTTTATAGATTCTATTAGTTATTAGCTCTTTATCAGTAGTGTAGATTGCGAATATTTTCTCCCATTATGTAGTTTGTCTATTTACTCTGTTGATTATTTCCATAGCTGTACAGAAGCTTTTTAATTTAATCAAGTCCCATTTATTTATTTTTGTTGCTGCTATAATTGCCATTGGGGTCTTAGTCATAAATTCTTTGCCTAGACTGATGTTTAGAAGAGATTTTCTTACATTTTCTTCTAGAATTCTTGTGGTTTCATGCCTTACATTTAAGTCTTTTATCTATCTTGAATTAATTTTTCTAAGTGGTGCTCTCTCTCCACTGGGGTCCTGTTTCATTCTTCTGCACATGGCTATCCAATGTTCCCAGCACCATTTACTGAATAAGGCTTCTTTTCCCTGTTGTGTGGTGGTGTTTGCTTTGTCAATGATCAATTGGCTGTAGGTAGGTGGTTTTATATCTGGGTTCTTTATGCTGTTCCATTGATCTGTGTCTCTATTTTTGTGCCAGTATCATACTGTTTTGTTTACTATAGCTTTGTAGCATAGTTTGAAGTCTGGTAATGTGATGCCTCCAACTTTGTTCTTTTTGCTTAGGGTTGCTTTGACTATTCAGGCTCTTTGCTGGTTCCAAATGAAGTATAGAATTTTTCTAGATCTGTGAAATGTGTGGTTGATATTTTTATGGGGATTGCATTGAATCTGTAAATCACTTAGGGTAATACGGACATTTTAACAATGTCGATTCTATTGATCTATGAGTATTATATGTTTTTCCATTTGCTTGTGTCATCCACAATTTCTTTCCTTGGTGTTTCGTAGTTCTCCTTGTAGAGATCTTTGATCTCCTTGGTTAAGTATATTCATAGGTATTTTATTTTCTTTGTAGCTATTGTGAATGGTATTGAGTCTTTGATTTGACTCTTAGCTTGACTGTTATTGGTATATAGAAATACTATAGACTTGTGTACATTGATTTTTTTTTATCCCGAATTTATTTATCAATTCCAGCAGACTTTTAGTGGAGTCTTTGGAGTTTTTTAGATACAAGATTGTATCATCAGCAAAAGTGATAGTTTGACCTCCTATTTCCTGGTTTGGATACCCTTTATTTTTTTACTGATTGCTCTGGCTAGGACTCCCAGCACTATGTTGAATAGAAGTGGTGAACTTGGGCACCCCTGTCTTGTTCCAGTTCTTAGTGGGAATGCTTTCAACCTTTCCTTATTCAGACAAAAAGCATTCTGTCAAATGCTTTTTCTGCATCTATTGAAATGATCATATGGTCTTTGTTTCTGCTTTAGTTTATGTAGTGAATTACATTTATTGCTTTATGTATATTGAACCATCCTTGTATCCCCGGGATCAAGCCTACTTGGTGATGGTGGATTATTTCTTTGATGTGCTATGAAATTGTTTGCTAGTATTTTATTGAGAATTTTTGCATCTATATTCATAAGGACATTGGTCTGTAGTTTTCTTTTTTTGTTGTGTCCTTACTTGGTTTTGATATCAAGGTGATACTGGCTTCATAGAATTGATTTGGGAAGGAGTCCCTCCTCCTCAATGTTATGGAATAATTTCTGCAGCGTGAGTACCAGTTCTTCTTTGTAGGTCTGGTAGAATTTGGTGGTGAATCTATCTGATCTGGACATTTTTTTTATTGGAAAACTGTATTAATGCTTCAATCTCACTGCTCATCATTGGTCTATTCAAGATTTCTGTTTCTTCCTGATTTAGGCTTAGAAAGTTGTGTGTTTCCAGGAATTTTTACATTTCCTTTGCATTTTCTTGTTTATATGCATAGAGATTTTCATAGTATTCCAGGTGATGTTTTTTATTTCAGTGTTGAGTTGTGGTGTCTCCTTTTTCATTTCTGATTGAGCTTATTTGGGTCCTTTCTTTTCTATTCCTGGCTAATCTAGCAAGAGGGCTATCTTGTTTATCTTTTCAAAGAACTGACTTTTTAAATTGACCCTTTGTATTATTTGTTTGTTTGTTTGTTTTCCATTTCTTTTAGTTATGCTCTGGCCTTTGTTTTCTTATGCTGGCATTGGGTTTGGTTTGCTCATCCTTTTCCAGTTCCTTGAGATTTGATATTAGGTTATTAATTCGTGATCTTTCTCACTTTTGGATACTGGCATTTAAGGCGTGAATTTTCCCCTTAGGTATGCTTTTGCTGTGTCCCAAAGATTATGATAGCTTTGTCTCCTTTGTCATTCAGTTCAAGGAATCTTTTGATTTCCATCTTAATTTCCTCCTTGACCCACAATCATTCAGTAGCAGGCTGTTTAACTTCCATGACTTTGTGTAGAATTATTAGTCTTAGAATTGATTTCTAGTTTTTTTTTCTTTTCTCCTAAGCCTGGTTAACAAGTCCAAATGATTTCTAGTTTTAATCCATCTTGATCTGAGAAGATACATGGTATGATTTCAGTTTTTAAAAATTTATTGAGACATGTTTTATGGCCTAAGATATGATCAGTCTTGCAAAATGGCCCGTGTGCTGATGAGGAGAATGTATATTCAGTAGTTTTTGAGTAGAATGTTCTGTAAGTATCTGTTAGGTCCATTTGTTTTAGAGTCCTGTTTAAGTCCAATGTTTGTTTATTTTCTGCTTTGATGATCTATCCAGCTCTGATAGTGGGATATTGAAGTCCCCAGCAATTGTGATGCTATTATTCATTTCCTTGCTTAGATCTGGTAGAGTTTATGTATCTGGGAGTTCCTGTGTTAGGTGCATATACATTTAGGATTGTCATGTCTTCTCATTGAATTGCTCCCTTTAGCATTATATAATGACCATCTTTGTCATTCTTTACCATTGTTGATTTAAAGTCAATTTTGTCTGATATGAAAATGGCTACTCCTGCTCTCTTTTGGTTTCCATTTGCATGAAATATTTTTTTCTATCTTTTAACTTTGAGCTTGTTTGCATCCTTGTGGTTTAGATGTGTCTCCTGGAGGCAGTAGATATTTGGCTTGTGTTTGTTCATCCATTCAGTCAGCCTATGTCTTTTGAGTAACACATTCAAGCCATTAATGTTAAGAGATAGAATTGATATTTGTGATGCTGTTCTGTTCATCATAATTGGTAGTACCTTGTTGCTTTGTTTTTCTTCTTGTGCTATTGTTTTATAGGAGTTGTGAGCTTTGGCTATTTTGGGTGATTTTACATTGATGGGTGTCTGTGGTGCTGATTCATGTATAACACAGTTCTGAGTGTTTTCTGCAGGGCAGGTCTGTTCATGACAAATTCCCTCAATGTTTGCTTGTCTGAAAAAGGCTTAATTTCTCCATCAATTATGAAACTTAGTTTTTCAGGAGACAAAATTGTAGGATGGCAATTTTTCTGTTTAAGAAGATTGAAGATGGGGGCCCACTCCCTTCTGGCTTGTAAGATTTCTGCTGAGAAGTCTGCATTTAGCCTGATGGGTTTTCTCTTGTAGTCAGTTATTGCTTACATCTAGCTGCTTGTAGAATTCTCTCTTTCATTTTTATTTTGGCCAGGTTAATTACTGTGTGTCTTGAAGATGTCCTATTTGCTATGAATCTTCCCAGTATTTGATGGCCATCTTGTATCTGGATGTCTGGATCTCTGACGATACCAGGGAATTTTTCCTCAATAATTCCCTTGAACAGAGTTTCCATGTTTTTATCTGTATCTTCTGGTCTCTCTGGGATACCTATAATTCATGTTAGTTCACTTTGTGTAGTCCCGTATCTCTCTAAGTGATTGCTCTGCCTTTTTGTTCTCTTCTCTGCCTCTTTAAATGACTGGCTTAGCTTGAGAGCCTTGTTTTCAAGCTCTGAGATTCTTTCCTCTCCTTAGTTTAATCTGTTGCTGAAATTTTCTGCTATGTTTTGAAATTCCCTAAATGACTCTTATTTATTTAAGCTTTATTATATCCTTCTGTATTTTGTCTAGTTCTTTAGTAACTTTTTCATTAATTTCTTGAAATATTTTGTTGGTTTCTTTCTGTTAGTTTTCAACTTTTTCTTCAATTCCACTCATTTAATTTGCCATCCATATTCTGAATTCCATTTTTGTCATTTTGACAATTTCCTTGTAGTTGGAGTTCACTGCTATAGCTCCATTATGATCCCTTTGAGGGTGTCAATCTGTTTTGATATTTTATGTTGCCTAGGTTCTTTTGCTGGTTTCTTTTCATCTGAAACCTCTTTTCTCAACTCAGGGCTAATAGGTTTGTCAGGCACCTGTTCCTTACTGGGAACTCTCCTGCTTGATTCAAAGAAGGGGAGGTCCCTAGATGGCACTGTTTCCTCCCTACTCTGGAATGTTGACATGGTAGAGGAGGGGTGTGTGCACTAGAAGCCTCTAATGCAGCTGTTCTGATGTGTTCTGCTCGCTTGTGATTGCCTCTGCTCAAACCTGTGTTGAATGCTATTTGTGTTGGGTGTTGGGTTGTCCACCATATAGTTGTAGGATATTCGAGTTAGGAGCTAGGTGAGACCCTCTTCACTGAGGCTTGTGTTGTAGGGATTGCTCTACCCAGGGTCTTCCCACAGGGGTGATAGTAATAGCTAGGTAAAGCTATCTAGGCAGTCGTGGGTTCCCAGGCTGTGGGCATTCATTCAAACCAGGTTGCAGTGTACTGGCAGCTCGAGTCTGGGGTCACTGGTTGGGTATTGGACTTCGGAACAGTTCCTCTGGCCTTGCGGTGGTGGTGGAGGCTCTGGGTTGGGGTCTTGGGGTCCAGATGCAGTGATGAAGTCTTAGGGATAGTGTCTCGGGCCTGGCAGGAGCTTTGGAGGCACAGAGGCAGAGCCTTGGGCTCTAGTGTGAAAGCCTCAGAGCTGGGACTGGGGAGGAGCCCAAAGCAGGGCCATAGAGCCATGCGGGTGGCAGGGCTGACCCGACCTGGAGGGTGGGGTCAGGGCCAAGCAGGTAGGAGGCAATTGTGGCCTGGAGGGTGGAGTCAGGGCCAAGCAAGTGGCAGACTGTTCTGCAGGCTCAGGGACTACCTGGATGCCAACTCACATGGGCAGAGGTTGGTTCCAGCTGCCTAGGGATCGCGGAGTTCTCCCCACCCTCCCCAGGACCTGCTGAAGCAGTAGTCCAAAGCCTCTCAGGTCGGAGCCTGCTGTGACCTAGTCAGTTCCCATGCTCAGATCCCATTGCCCTGTAGGCAGTCATAGGGTATGGCTCAGGGAAGCCTCCTGTTAGTCCATTCCCTCCCCAGCCCAGTGCCATTGTGGCACTGTGCACCGAGAGCTCAGGATGGCTTTAGCTGCTGCTCGATCTCCACCGCGCCTGTTGTTTGATGCTATGACTCTGCACAGGCTCCAGGCAGGTGTCCCTGGTCTGACCAGACAGAGGTAGCCTTCTTACAACTTGCACAGTGCCAGCAGGGTGAGCGCAGTGCCTCAACACTCTATCCTCCTATTCTTCCCTGCATGTTCTTTGATCCTGTTATATATATTGCCCCATCATTTTTTTTCTCCATACTGAATGTCCTGCGTTGCCTTTCTGTGATTTCACATGTTGCTTCAGAGAAGAAGTATCTGAACGTAGGCAGCTGACCGCATTTTTCACTTCTTTCCTTGGGGAGCAGCATTCTGGCAGGCTCCTTCTAGCCTGCCATTTTTTTTCCATCAGTGAACATTTCTTTTAGCAGTTTTTATATTAAAGCATTTTGAAATTCTGATTGTTTAATTTGATATTAAGGAAAAACATCTGTTTAAATACGTGAGTCATTTGAAAATTCAAGATCCTTTAAAGTATTTTATGCATTTAAATAAGAAAATTTACATCATCGTCAAATCTATTCTTGTTTTCTCTTTATCTCATTTCAAAATTTATTTTATCTTTTTGTATTATGTATATTTTCAAAGCTACCTCAAACCTTGTTTTAATATCTTTTCAAAATACTTTTTCTTGACAGGTCATTGCTTGTCAAGGGGCATGGTGACTTTAAATTATTCTTTACTATGTGAAGAGTTTGAAATGACACAGACCCACACAAATCAATCCCTTTTATTTATCTCTTGTATATTCTCTTACTCTTTTCCTGTTTTTCAAAAGCATCTTTTATTGCTTCCTCTTAGATCCTTAATTATCTACCTTATATTCTTGTGTTCTCTGGACTTTTTCTCCCAAATTTTTCTTTCCTGACCAAAAAGAAATTATAATTTAGTGGGGTTTTTTTTGAAATAGAAGTCATTTTATAAATGATTATTGTAATATATCTCATTTTTTTAGTTCATTATTTCTGATTTTTAATCCATTAGCAAGGAGAGACTAGCTAAATGAATAGAACATAGAGGAGATAAAACATTGAAATCCTTGTTTAGGTTCATTTGTGTTTAGTAGTTTGTCCATGCCATACTCACCATGGGGTGAGTTTTTAACAGCTGTTTTATTTCTGTGACAGTCTACCCTTCCTCTGGCTATTACCACAAAGTTGAATTATCATATATTTGAACATAGCAAAATTGAGATTAATAGATCTTTATTATACTAAATATAGACTATATGAAATTTTTGCAATATTAGTTAAGTAATGGATTAAAAATAATGTGCTTCTTGATTTAGGGGGACAGTATATTTTTTGTTTGGTAATGATGTACCCTCATTTTTACAGTGTATATTGATTTGCATTTGTTGATTCTCAGTAAAGAAAAATTATTGAAACTCAACATTTGTGTGATTATAGATGAATTACTTCTTTATTATATGCTTTTATTATCCTAAGGAAAAAGTTTATTTTGAAATTTTCTTTGGTGAACCTTGGTATATATTTAGAAGGAACATTTTTATTTTCTTAAAATTAATGAAATTTCTCTGTCATTAGAACTTACTGTGATATATATCTTCTTGGTTACTTTAGAAAATAAAATTGAGGTGCAATATTAGTGATTTAAAAGAAATTCAGTCCAAAAACGAGTATACCAATATGACCAGTTTTGAAAGGAAATTCTTGTTCATCTGTCTTTGTGTCATTTTATATAACGTGGGAAGGTATGGAGAACTGTTTTATGATGCTCCTAAACCTTATATACTTTTTATATAATCAGTTTGGATAAGATTCTAAAAAACTTAATAAACATTTTGATTATTCCTTTGTAGGTTTAATATCTTCACACGAATGTCATATTCGTGTGAATACACTTATCTACATATTTTTAGGTAGCAGAAATGATTATTATTATAGTGATTATATTTAGGTTCTCTTTGAGTAAAGTGATTAGTGGGATATAATAATTACGTAGTGTTTCCACAAAATTCCTTTTATCAGTCTCATTATTTGTTATGTGTATATATACATTTTTCTTCAAGTCTGTGTCTATATAAACAAACATGGAAACTGTGGCCCTCACCTGGATCCAAAGAAAATCCAGCAGCTGCCTGACCACTATGGCCCAGGCCCGGTGAATGTGGTGCTCCGCCGGACCGTGCAGGCCTGTGTGGATTGTGCCTTTCAGAGTAAGACTGTTTTTGGATTCCTTAAGCCAGATCATCGTGGAGGAGAAGTGATAACTGGTATACTCATCCTTTATTCAGCTTCTTTTCCAAATTTGAGTTAGGTTTCAAGAAGGCTAGGGTTTTATTTTATTTTTTAACTAATCCCATGACAGATTAAGAAGGCTAGGATTTTATAATATGTAGACTATAGTCTTATATTCTATTAACTATAATATTGTAATATTTATTATATTGGCTTATAATAGTCATAATACATATTTATAGACTTTTAGCCCTGATTTGGAAAGTTTACTTAAATAGACAAATGACATCAGAGTAATACCATAAATTGAGGTAAAAGGTACAGAGTTTCCCTTTGACATGCTGTGTTAAGCTCACTATAGACAGAGTACTTTGGTTGATATTTTAATGTTTGTAAAAAATAGACCGATTTATAAGAAGTTCTAAATAAAAATGTGACTCAAGAAGTTATTAAGAGATAAGATACAGTTGGGTGTCTTCTATGATTATATGATCAGATACCACAACATTAAACCATGGAATATTTGGAAGAGAAGCAAGTATTATTATAGATCAGTGGGTTTCTATTGTTCTATTTCTATTTTTGTTTATTTTATGAATATTTTTAAATGAGAATGTTTTACCAATACAAGCTATTGTGTTTGAATGAGAGGAACTTTTATAATTTAAGATTATTCCTTTATGAATTTTACAAAAACCACAAATTAGACTTAAAATACATTTCCTAAATTGTTAGTGTTGTATTTCTCATCTTTGTGAGATGACTCTGACATCTTTCTTTTCCCCTCATAGCCTCTTTTGATGGGGAAACTCATTCCATCCAGCTCCCTCCAGTGAATAGTGCATCATTTGCTCTTCGTTTTCTTGAGACCCTTTGCCACAGCATGGAGTGTAAGAACCTTTTGAGTAGCCAGCCTTTTAGCTCTTATAAGGGTAATACTCATAGCTCTGCAGAGCATGATAATAAACCAGGTGAGAGAAAATGTAAATTTTTATACTATACTTGTATTTAACATGAGAATCTTGTATAATTCAGAGTTTTTCCTTATGTCCTCCTCAAAGTAAACATTTTAGCTATAATGAACTAATGAGAAATGTATAATATATAGTTGTTTTTGTTCATTCAGAGTGGGAAAGTAATTTCTTGTATTCATCATAAAGTTGAGCTTCAAAGCCAGTGGGTTATATTTGGCTTCTTTGTGACTAGCTCACAGAGTTACACATTTTCTATTAGACTGAAATGTGGCTTTAAAGTTATTGACCTTTATAATCTTAAAAAGTCAGCAAAGCATGTTAAGCCCATTGGATATATAAAGATGAAGATTCTGTTACAGGCATTGAGAGATGTGACAAACGAGTGATACACTCGAATTTAATGTTTGTGCCATGGTTGCCTCTATTCCATAAGAACCCCAAACTGATGCCTGAATAAGAGGGTGGGTGTAGGGTAGTCCTTTAGAACCAAAAGCAGGTTTCTTGCTTCTGATCCATAAAGCTAGAAAGCTTTTTAAGTTTAAATATTCTTTGTTATTTGGGAAAGATTTGTCCCTTTTTCATCTGACTCATGAAAGCTAACCATGTTCTACTTATCATGGCAGGATTGTATGCGAGTCTTTTAAGAGTAGCTGAAGTTCTCAGGTATTACATCCCCATGGTTTTCTGGCCAGGTGCTGCTGATTGTGAAAATAGAGTACCATCACAGACTCTCTGTTTAAGTCTAGGGATTCTAATTCACATTCCACTCAAATGTAAACCTTGGATACCATCTCTAATTCCTCCTCTTTTTCTGGTCCTTCCAGTTAGTTACCCACACCTTTCCTCATATTCAGTGAGGTCTCTCATATCCATCCCCTTCTTGCCATTTTCTTGTCACTGCCTGCTTCAGAACCCTATTAAAGCATTCTCTGACTTAGTAAAGAAGTCTCCTAACTGGAAACCTCTTTCTAGTTTCTCCCATCTGGTGTAGCTGCCCAGTGAGTCCTTCTGAAATAAAGGTATGATACTGTGATATCTGTGTAAAAGTATACATGGGTAGGCAGTGGAATGTAGGGAGCACAGATGTTGGAGTTTGTCAGACCTGGGCTCCAGTGCTGACCTCATAATCTGTATGCTGAAAGGGCATGAAGTCTGACAGGCCTGAATTTTAATCCAATTTTTGCTGTTAACTAGCTGTGTGCCCATAGACAAAATACTGACTCTCTGGGTCTCAATATCCTTATCTGCAAAGTGCAGAAATCCTTCGCCTGGTTGGTCTTTGTTAAGCACCATGAGACTGGGGAGATTTCAGTGTGCCTTTTAAGAGTCTGTCTCCCCAGCTTCTTATATAGCTCCAGGATTCAGCAAATGTGCCATGGGGGGAAACTAGCTGTGAGTATGAGTTTCTAATTTATCACTCCGGCTGTGTGAAGCTGCTAAATCTTTTTTTTCTTTGCCTGGGCAGAACCCTCTGCCTGGGTCAAGTCCTATTTTCATTGCAGTGCTAAGAATCAGCAAATTTCCACAGGGGAAAACATTTGATGAAATCTTTATTTTAGACTAGAATGGTTCTTCCCTCTCTGGAATTCGAATTTATTAATTCCTGTGACTGCTATACCTCTGGGATGCCTTTCTTATAATAACTTTATTGAGATATAATTCACACACCATAATTTCACCCTTTTGAAGTATATAATTCAGTGGTTTTTAGTATATTCACAGAGTTGTACAATAATCATCACTAATTCCAGAACATTTTCATCATCCCAAAAAGAAATCTCATACTCAGTAGCCATCATTCCTTGATCTCTCCTCTTTCCAGCCTCTGGAAAACATTAATCTACTTTCTGTCTTTATGAATTTACCTACTCTGGATACTTTATATTCATGGAATCATATGATATATATAGCCTTTTGTGTGTGGCTTCTTTTATAAAATATGTTTTCAAGGCTCATCCGTGTGGTAGCATGTATCAGTACTTCATGCCTTTTTATGGCTAAATATTCTATTATATGGATATATCACAATTTGTTCATTCATCAATTGATGGATTTTTGGACTGTTTCCACTTTTTGGCTATTAGGAATACTGCTGCAATGAACATTTGTGTACAACTATTTGTGTGGATATATGTTCTTTGTTCTCTTGGGTATAAACCTAGGAGTAGAATTTCTGGGTCATATAGTTAACTCACTGTTTAACTTGTTGAGGAACTGACAGACTTTCCCAAAGGGGCTGTGCTATTTTACATTCCTATCAGCAGTGTTTGAGGGTTCCAGTTTGTCCACATCCTTGTCAACACTTGTTATTGTCCATCTTTTTTTATTATAGCCATCCTAGTGGGTGTGAAATGGCATCTCATTATGATTTGATTTGAATTTTCCTAATGGCTGATGTTGAGCATCTTTTCTTATACTTATTGGCCACCTGTGTATCTTCTTTGGATAAATGTCTGTTCAAGTCATTTTTGCCCAGTCTATGGCCATACTACCTTGAATATGCCTGATCTCAGAAGCTAAGCAGTGTTGGGCATGGTTAGTACTTGGATGCCCAACCACCTGAGAATACTAGATGCTTGTAGGCTTAAAATACAATCCTTTGCCCATTTTTAATTTTGTTCTTTGTCTTTTTATTATGGAGTTGTAAGAGTTCTTTATATATTCTAGATACAAGTCCCATATCAGATACATTCATTGCATATATTTTATCCCATTCTTTGGATTGTCTTTTCACTTTCTTAATGGTGTCCTTTGAAGCACAAAGTTTTTAATTTTGATGAAGTTCAATTTATCTATTTTTTCTTTTGTTACTTGTACTGTTGGTGTCATATCTAAGCAACCATTGCCTAATCCAAATTCACAAAGATTTGCCCCTGTGTTTTCTTCTAAGAATTTTATAGTCATTAGGTCTAATGATTAAATTAATAAATTTTGAGTTAATTTTTGTATATGCTGTCAAGTAGGGGTCCAATTTTGTAAAAGAATATGTGAATATCCAATTGTCCCAGCACCGTTTATCGACAGACTACTCTTTCCTTTGTTAACTTGTTTTGGCATTCTTGTTAAAAACCAATTGACTATAAATATCAGTTTATTTATGGACTTCCATTTGTACCCTATTGATCTATATATGTCTATCTTTATAGGTGTGATTACTGTAGCTTTTGTAGTATGTTTTGTCATTGGGAAGTATGAGTCCTCCAACTTTGTTATTGGTTTTCAAGATTGTTTTGGCTATTTTGGGTCCCTTGTATTTCCATATGAATTTTAGGGGTCAGCTTATCAATTTCTGTAAAGAAGCCAGCTTGGATTTTAATAGAGATTGTGTTGAATCCATAGATTGATTTGGGAAGTATTGCCAACTTAACAATATTAAGTCTTCCAGTCTAGGAACAAGGGTTGTTTTTCCATTTATTAGGTCTTTAATTTATTTCAACCATGTCTTAAAGTTTTCAGAGAACACATCTTGCACTTTTTTCAATAAATTTGTCCCTAAACATTTTATTCTGTTTCATACTCTTAAAAATGGAATTATTTACTTAATTTTCACTTTTGGATTGTTGCAAGTTTATAGAAATATGATTGGTTTTTTTAATATTGATTTTGTATTCTGCAATCTTGTTGAATTCATTTATTCTCATATTTTTTTGTGTGCATGTGTGTATTCCTTAGGATTTTCTAAATATAAATTCATGTCATCTGTGAATAGAAATGGTTTTTCCCTTTCCAGTCTGGATGCCTTTTATATCTTTTTCTTGCCAGTTACCCTGTCTAGAACCTCTAGTACAATGTTGAGTAGAAGTGATAAGAGTGGACATCCTCGTCTCGTTCCTCATCTTAGTTAGGGGGAAGTTTTAAATCTTTTACCATTAAGTACGATATTAGCTGTGAGTTTTTCATATATGCCCTTTATCAGGTCTGTTCTTAGCTTGTTGAGAGTTTTTATTATGAAAGGGGTGTTGAGTTTTGTTCAAATGTTTTTTCTATGTCTATTGAGATGATCATGTGGTTTTGGTCCTTTATCCAATAATATGGCATATTATATTTTTCATATCTTAAACCAACCTTGCATCCCTGGGATAAGTCCCACTTGATAATGGTGTATAATACTTTTCATGTGTTATTGGATTCAGTTTGCTAGTATTTTGTTGAGGATTTTTTGCACATGTATTTCTAATGGATATTGAGCTGTAATTTTCTTTCTTGTAATGTCTTTGTTTGGCTTTAGTATCAGGGTAATATATTGGCTTCATAGACTGCATTAGGAAGTGTTCTCTCCTCTTCTGTTTTTTTAAAAAGAGTTTGATGAAGGATTGGTGCTAATTCTTTTTAAATGTTTGGTAGAATTTACCAGTAAAGCTGTCAGGGCCTGGGCTTTACTTTGTGGGAAGTTTTAAAAATTACTTATTTGGTATTTTTGCTTAATTTAGGTCTATTCAGGCTTTCTAGTCTTCCTGAGTCCCTTTCAGTAGTTTGTATTTCCAGGAATTTTTCAGTTTCATCTACATTATCCAATTTGTTGGCATACAGTTGTTTTAGTATTCTGTTTATTTCTGTAAGGTATATAGTGATATCTCTACTTTCATTTGTGATTTTAGTAATTTGAGTTTTCTGTCTTATTTTCTTGGTCAGTATAGCTAAAGCTTTGTCAGTTTTGTTGATCTTTTCAAAGAGCTAACTTTTGGTTTCATTGATTTTTCTCTACTGTTTTTCTGTTTTCTATTTCATTTATTTCTGCTCTCATCTTTATTTCTTCCTTCTGCTTACTATGATTTATTTTGTTCTTCTTTTCTAGTTTTTTAAGGTGGGTTTAGATTATTGATTTGAGAGCTTCTTTGTAATGTGTTTACAGCAATAAATTTCCCTCTAAGCACAGATTTAGCTGCATCCCCTAAGTTTTGCTGTGTTGTGTTTTTGTTTTCATTTATTTCAAAGTATTTTTTACTTTCATTTATGATTCTTTTACTGATTGCTTACTGAGGGGGGTGTTTAATTTCCATTTATTCATAAATTTTCTAGATTTCTTTCTGTTAGTATAATTTTTTCCCATTGTGATAAGGAACATATTTTATATGGTTTCAGTACTTACGAATTTATTAAAACTTAATTTTGGCTCAACATATGGTCCTTCTATAATGTTCCATATGCACTTGAGAAGAATATATATTCTGCTGTTGTTGGGTAGATGGTTCTAAAGATATCTGTGAGATCTAGTTGGTTAGTAGTGCTATTCAAGTCTTCTATATCTTTGATCTTTTGCCTAGTTGTTCTATCCATTATTAAAAGTGGGATGTGAAGTCTCCAACTATTACTGTTGAAATGCTTATTTTTCCTTTCAATTTGGTTAGTTTTTTGCTTCATATATTTGAAGTTGTGTTGTTAGGTGTATGTATATTTATAATTATTGTGCCTTCATGATGGATTGACCCTTTTGACAGTATGAAAGGTCCTTTTTCTCTAGTAACAATTTTCATCTTAAAGTATATTTTGTCTGATATTAGTACAGCCATTCTGGTTTCTTTGGGGGGTATAATTTAGATAGTCTGTTTTTTTCAACCTTTTACTTTTAATCTATTTGTGTATTTGAATCCAAAGTGTGCCTCTTACAAGTATGTAGTTGGATCATGTTTTCTTTTATCCATTTGCCAATCTTTGATTTTTGATTGGAGTGTTTATTTCATTTATATTTACTATAATCACTGATAAGGTAGAATTTACATCTACCATTTTGCTATTTGTTTTCTGTAAGTATTGTCTCTTTTTCATTGTCTCTTCCTCCATTATTGCCTTCTTTTGTATCAGTTTCTTATAAATCATTTTGTTTCTTCTGAAGTTCCTTTTACTACATTTTTCAAATTATTTTCTTAGTAGTTGCCTTGGGGATTACAGTTAACATCTTAATCTAGTTTGGATTATAATCAACTTAATTTTAATATTCAAAAATTTTGCTTTAGTATAGCTCTGTTCCCTCCCCCCTTCTTTGTGCTATTGTCAAACATATTAGATCTTTATACATTATGAATCTGTCAACACAGTTTTATAATTATTTCTTTATGTAGTTGTATTTTAAATGAGAAAGGAGAAAAAAAGGGTTACAAACAAAAATACATTTACTGGTGCTCTTTATTTTTGTCATATGGATTTGAGTTACTGTCTAATGTCTTTTCATTTCAGCCTGAGGGATCTCTTTGGTATTTCTTATACGATAGCTCTGCTAGTGAGGAATTCTGTTTTGGTTTATCGGGAATTTCATGTTTTCTCCTTCACTTTTGAAGGTTATCTTTGCTGGATATAGAACTCTTCATTGACAGTCTCTTTGTTTCAGCACTTTGGATGTCAGCCCACTTCTTTTTGACCTCTGTGATTTCTGATGAGCAGTCAGCTGCTAATCATATTGAGAATGCCTTGTATGTGATAATTTGCTTTTCTCTTGCTGATTTCAAGATTCTCTCTGTCTTTTGCTTTTGACAGTTTGTTGTTTTTTAGGTGTGAATCTATTTGTGTTTATCCTAGTTGGGAAATTGTTGAGCTTTTTAGATGTGCATATTAATGCTTTTCATCAAATCTAGGGAACTTTGGGCCATTCATTCAAATATTCTTTCTGTCCCTTTCTTTCTCTCCTCTTTTGAGATTCTCCCATTTTGTGTATTTTGATATGCTTGATGGTGTCCCACAGGTCTCTGAGGGTATATTTATTTTTCCTCATTCCTTTTTCTCTATGATCCTAAGACTATATAATCTCAATTGACCTTTCTTTAAGTTTGTTGATTCTTTTTCTGCCAATTCAAATCTGCTGTTGAGACCCTCTAGTGAATTTTTCATTTCATTTATTTTTTTTCAACTATTAAATTTCTAATTAGTTCTATTTTATAATTTCTCTCTCTTTCTCAATTTGGTGAGACATTGTTCTTATACTTTCGTTCTTCAGACATGATTTTTTTTAGTTTCTTGAACGTATTTATAATAGCAAATGTAAAGTCTTTGGCTAGTAAGTTCACTGTCTGATCTTCCTCAGGGACAGTTTCTATTAACTAATATTTTTTCCTATGGATGGGCCATACTTTCCTGTTTCTTTGCATGTCCCGTATTTTTTTTTGTTGTTAAAAACTTAACGTTCTTTTTTTTTTTTTTTTTTTTTTTTTACGACCTTAGACCCAAGGAGATAAAAACTTAACGTTCTTAAATCATATAATGTGGCAGCTCTGGAAATCAGATTCCTTCCTCTTTTCTAGGATCTGTTGTTTTTGCTGGTGCTGTCTATTTAGTGACTTCCCTGGACTAATTCTATAAAGTCTGTATTTTTTGTCATATGTGACCATTAAAGTCTGCTTGGTTACTTTAGTGTGGTCTGCTAATGATTTGATAGGGATTTCCTTAAATGCCTAGAACCAGTATGTCTCCCAGACTTAGCCAAGGGATTCTCTGTGTATTGGGGCATAACTCCAACACTTCAAACTTTAAGGCAGTTTATAAGTTTGCTTTTGCACAGAGCCTTCTCAGGTCTTTCCTGGACATGTATACATATAGCCCTGCACATGCATGTGACCTTTTAGATTCCCAGGAATTATGTCAGTACTTTTCAAAGTCCCCTAATTGGACATCTTGTTACTTAGTTTATCCTCATAAGCTCTTGTCAGCCTCTTGTTAGCCCCAACTGGTAATGCTGTCTCAGATAGCTATGAAGTTAAACAGTTGCCACCATTTTTCCCCCCTCAAATGTCCTGGAAATGGGATTGTTCACACACAGCAGGCTCTGATTCAGGTCAAATAAAGATAAGCCCTGAGAAGGAACTTTTCTGTGAGCTGCAGGATCAAATAGTGACAATTCTCTGAGGATGGGACTTTTGGAGAGCTCTAAACCCATTGTGCACCCCCCTCTAGTGACCACTAGGCTGCTGATTTTCACACCTACTGTAGTTGTGAAGCTATTGGTTTTCAAGGCTATTGTGTAAATCTGTTGGGGGCGGGTCATATGAGGGCAAGTTAAAATTCCACAGAATTTGCTGTTCTTTCTGAGATTCAGCCATTTTTCTTGATTAAATGCTGTTTGTATTATGGCAAGCTTTTAATTAATTTCCAGAGTTTTGAAAAAGTTAATTTTGACAGGTTTTGCCAGTGTTTTCAATGTTTCTGTGAAGGAGTGGATTTTCAGAGGTCTTTTTCATCAATCATCCTGGAAGTGCCCCTCTATGATGACTTTTAAAGTATTTTGTAAATTACCAGGCTTTTCTTAGTTACCTCTGTAGGAACACTTTCCTGCCTTAGCTTACTACAATACCCAGAAGCAGAAGTCAATTTTATGTTTATTTCAGCCCCAGATAATAGATCATGCACCAGTGTCATAAACTTCATAAAGAAAGCATTAGTATATTACAAATAAAAGATAAGTGAAGACTTTTTCTAGTCTTGCTAAGATTCTGAAGAAACAAATATCTATGGAAAACTATATTGTAGCACTAGAATTTTCCATATCATTAAATGGGTATAACAAAAGCCAATTTCTTTCCTTAGACTTTAAGTGCCTCAATTAATTATAGAAATATTTTTCATGCACTATATTTTGCCTATTGGTTTTATAGCCCATGATTAAAAATAAAACTCAAGTGGTAAGAGGTCTCTTGTACTCATTCGTATTCAGTCAGTATTACTAGATTGCTAAAGGTTGCTCATCATATGATTTTGATGTCCCCAGCCAAAACTTTGAGCCAGATGAACTTTGCCTTTGGTACTTCCTCATTGCAATCTCTCTTCCCTTTTGAGGTCTATTATCAGACTTTTTAGATTTCTATTATACCTTATTTTTCCTTTTAGTTGGAGATTAAATTAAGATGCTGGTTGATACTTAGAGTATAATTGATAATTAAAGCTATCTTCACTTTCATAGTCATGCTTTAAAGAGTGATCCTGACTCGAGTGGGAAGGGGGGCATGGGCAATATACGTAACCTTAACACTTGTACCCCCATAATACACTAAAATAAAAAATAAATAAATAAAATAAGCCCCCTTCCCCCCCAAAAAAGAGTGATCCTTTAGGTAGAAGTACATTTGGTTGAATTATAAGTAAACAATAGAGTTGTAAGAGTAGCCCTAAGGCCAGGATTGTTGTCTACAATATGGGGTATCCATTGTACCGTATCTTCTCCTTTAACTTTTCTTAAGTCTTAACTCTTCTGGCTCATGGGAACAATTTTTCCAGGCCTTTTAAGACACATAATGGGTTGTCTCACTGCCTTCTGAGGTATTTAGAGAGATCTGACGACCCTAGAATAAAGAAGCCTAGACATACTCCTTCTGGAAATGCTTTTAACTCTTGAATATTATTTCAGTGGAAATATTTAACAGGATGAAATAAACACACATTATTTGTGTACAAATAATTGACAAATTGTTGATGAAGTTATACTAGGCAGATTATTTAGAAACAAGTGTTTCATACTGATATGAAAATGCCTGAGTATATAACTCATAACAGAACCTTTTTTTTTTAAAGCAATAAAAGAAGAGCTATTAGAAAAGAAAAGCATCAAACGATCTCCTGAAAAACCTCTACCTTCTGTTGTTCCTCTCTCTCCTAAGTTACCCAAAACAATGGTGTATGCATGTAAAGGTAAATGGCATTTCCATGCCCCAGGATTGGGAAGAAAAGTTCCTCTCATGTCACTTAACATATACTCTTGGGGTGGTGGTATTAGGGGTAGGGAAGTGTATTTGCTGGCAATTAGGCTACTACTTTGGCAGCTTTGTTGAGCACTTCATTCCTTTGAGAAGTACACAGCTGTCATTTCTCCTTAGATATAAAAAAATAATTGTAATAACCTTTTCTATGAAGCCTTACATTTCTAGAAACTGGTAGAAAGAGGAATAGAAAAACCTAGCACCTTTCTCTGGTGAAACTGTTAACTGCCCAAGTAGTACAAAAACGTTAGAAACCGACTGTATGATCATATTATAACAAATCATGATGAACTGCCTTCCTAAAAATGAATGCTTTAGTGAGTTGTTCACAGCTTTGGTGGCAAGACTGACAAGGGATAGTAAGTTACCATGGTAAATATAAGTGATGTCATAGAATAAATGTGTCCATTGGTATCAATGCCAAGGAGGAGATGGCCATGTACTTAGAGGTTTGTGGTTCCATATAGTATCAGTTAAGTAAACTGTGGTTGGAGATGGAATTTTTGATCTTTTAATAGTATCTGAGCTATAAGTCTATTGAATGTAACTTTCTTTGTTTCTTTCCCTGTAGAAGAAACAGTACCTCCTGAGGGAAATGGCATGCCCAAAGAGGAAAAGCTTCCTGAATATTCCGAAAATTTGTCTTTAAATTCAGGAAGTTCTTTGAATCCTGCCTGTAGAAATCTTATGTATACTCCTACTTCGGTCGCGAGAAATTTTTCTCAAAATATGCCAGGCACCTCAAGTTCAGCACCATCCACCAAGAGCAGTTACCATGAAGTTAAATGCCAAGTGCAGAGGAAAAATGAAGGTATATTCAAAAACAGTGATTCTCAACCAATGTGTGTGTCTTTCCCCTTGAGGTTCCCATGCCCAACAGTATCCCCTTGAGAGTATATCACATTAGAGAAAGTGCCAAAATTAGGGAGTCCTGATAGTTCACATCACTATCAGGGTCGAACCATAATGGATGCCCCGATCCTCATGGCATCACAGAACTGTCTCTGGGGATCTGGATCATCAACCATTTCTGTCTCTGTTCGAGATTTCTCAAATTAGTGGTTCGTTAGCAGTTGTAATTTATTTCCTTGGGTACTGTCTGGACTCAAAAACCTCCCGTGACTCTGGGGACTCTAAAGACACACTCCCTCTCCCTATTTCTGGTATACTCTCTTCTTTCTCTCTCTTGAGACCTTTCCTGACCCCAACCTGTGTGTGGCTGCTGGATCTGGGCTCTGGCATCCTATTGCTGCAGCCACACCATTTCCACATTGTCCACATCCTCCCTCAGACCCAACAGGAAGACATGGCATGTATCAACAGGGCAGTATCCTGTTGCCACTTGGAAAGAGGCAGAATAGCCTTCCATATACAAAGAGGGTGAATACCCTGTATCCTTTTAAGGATTCAGGGTGAAGGATAGTAAGGGTGGGAATAAGTATTTTGTCCTTTTTCTCCAAGTAGGCATCTAGGCAAAGTCGAAGAGTGAAGGAAGTGGGAACCAGGTAACTCCCTTGCCTTTCATCACAGATGTTATCTATGGGCAACCACGCTGCACACATGCTGTGACACAATGTTGCCACCCTCATCCCTCATCCTTCTCTGGAGATTGTCTCTACTTTTAGAATGACATGGTTTGCAGAGAGTCTAAAGATAGATGCTTATTCAATAAGGGGTAGTATACCCTGAATTCTTTTTTTTATTTCTTGTTGTCGCTTCATTTCTTTAATTTGATAGAATTTTTTTATTTCAGCATATTACGGGGGTACAAATGTTTAGGTTAGATATATTGCCTGTGCTCCACCTGAGTCAGAGCTTCAAGCATATGACCTTTTGAAGACAGGCCTTCTCAGTAAAAGGCTCTACAAGGTTATTTCTAATGCTGAACATCTTCCAGATATTTGTCTAATCAGTATTGTGTCAAAGTAGCCTGGATTTGGGCTTCAGAAGGCTAGCCTTCGGTCTTCCTAGGAATAGAAAGACTAAGAGTAATAACATTACTTACTGGTAATTTACTTAATGGTAATAGAAATGGTAATTTACTTAATGATACCAATGGTATTAAATGCTAATAGAAATCATCATCATCTTCATTACTATCTGACATTATACGCCAGGCACATAATATTTTATATGGCCTCATACGTTATATCATTACAACAATTCCTTGAAATGTAGGTGCTGGTAAACATTTTCAGGTGAGAAATCTGAAGTCATTTGGCTAAGGTCCCTCAGCTAGAAAGTGACTGGGCCAGTCCTTGAACCCAGACACTCTGGCTCCAGGGCCACACTCTTAACTCCTGTGCTGCCTGCATCTCCAGAGAATAGGTAAGCATTTCACTTGAAACCTTCTAGAGATATATTTATGATCATTTAAGGCAGTGGAACTGTTACTTAAAGCTGAATCTACTCCTGACAGCCAGTGGTGCTCACACAACATTCATTATTTGAATTAAAAAACTGCTGACCTTTTATTATAGGAAAGAAATCTAATAACATTTTTGGGCAGGGGAGGAATATTTATTGATATCCCAATATATATAAGACAGCTATTCAGGAGAAAAGCATGACTAGACTTTATTTTCCACATGATTAGTTTGTTTCATATAATTATTCTAATGGTAGTGTTTACAGACTTCTCTGATTGTTTTGAAGATACAAGCCCAATTAAATTATTCTTCCATAATATACTATAAATAGAAAATCTTATAGTTTTTAGTGTAAAAATACTTTTATACCAGAAATCATATCTTTACATATAGTTTATCTGTAGTAATCCATAAAACTAGTTACATGTTATTCAAGACATAAATATACCAGATTACGATGACAGAAGCCAGAAATCTCACAAAAATGTAAGTTAATTTAGAGAGATGATTAGCCTTGCCAGTAATTTTTTAATGTTAAATTACATCTTTGTTGAGTTAAAGGAGATGGTGTTTCTGTCTAAATTGTCAGAATGCTTTAGGCATGGCATGGTCTATGCCATCATTGTTTTTACTTGGATTGATACAGCCCAGCAGAATTTCTTGGTAGATAGGAACATTTTTTTTTTTCTGACAAATAGAAAGGAGGATATATTTTGGTATAGAGTTTTTATTTCACATCCATTGTGAGTTCTTTTATCTTCTGTTTTTCTTTACCCTTCCGCTGGGTAAAATGCTCCTAAAATGGCCAAAGTCCAGATGATAGGAAAGAAGCAGTATGCCTTTGGCTAATTCAAACGCAAAAAAAAAAAAAAAAAAAAAAACCACATCAAATTTGTGTTGACAGTCCTTGCTTAGAGAAACAAGGCTAAGTACAAAACCCACTTCAGTTATCACACACTTACTTTAGGGAGTTGAGAGCTCTGGTTGAGTAAATGAATACTTGTCAAGACACAGATTCCATCACAATTTAGTGAAGAGCGTAGCTAAAACCATTTGAGGTATGATCACTTAAATTGTTTCATGTTTTTTATTTGTTTTTTTAAACATATAAACCTTCAACCAGAATATCTATCACTATGCAATTAAACATGAAAGAGGAATTAAATGTTAAAGTTACTTCTTAACCTAGCTCAGTAGAAAATGTTATTTTCTTCAAAATTCAGATTAGCATTTAGGCCATGAAAGATGAGAATCTAATGAGAGAAGTGATGCTAAAAATATCCTTATTGAATACATGGGAGAGAGTATGGTAAAAGAACTAATTTGGTTTTTCAAGATAATGGGGTCACTGAAGTTTGTTGATTAAAGTGAACACATTTAAACAATCACAAAACTGTAAATTTGGGGAATTTCCACTGTACTTAGCTGGTAAAATAAACCTAATCTATGGATATCAAGAGAGAGATTGAGAGAAAGTCATTGAAATACTTAAAGTAAGAGAGTCATAGGTTAGGTTAAATGAACCTATTTTACCCAAGTAACAGATCTTTTGCTATGTTTGCCTGTGGCCAAAGGAGCCTTGGATTGTTCGATCTGTTTTATGGTCTTTGAAGCTTTAAGGTAATTTCTGAACCTGCTTTTGTTGTTTGGGGGAGGTCAGATGGGATGCTCTGTGTAGCTATCCCCACATCATCTTTTTATAGGCTTTCACTAGATTTTACAGTTGGAGTCTTGAGTACTTGCTGGGGTACTTAAAAGAACGTTCCAGGAATGAGACCATTATTCCCTACCTAACATCTCTTCTTTCAGGATAATGATCAGGTCAAGTATGATTTGTCTTTTTTCCATTGAAGCTCCAAGTTATATAGCTGTACCTGACCCCAGTGTCCTGAAACAAGGCTTCTCTAAGGACCCTTCAACCTGGTCTGTGGATGAAGTGATACAGTTTATGAAACATACAGATCCTCAGATATCAGGCCCCCTCGCCGACCTCTTCAGGCAACATGTAATGTATCTTTTGATCCGGTTTTCCTGCCGTAATGCCTTTGAATGACCTCTGTGCAGGCCCTTCAGATGGATACTGTGTGGATGGTGGGGGAACCCTATCAACTGATTTTTCCATGTGTGAAAAAGGTTATTTTTCCCAAGGTTAGATCCTAAATGGTAGCTTAATGATCTGTTCCTTAAATGGATATTCAATGCCTAATACATAAACACCGGCCACAAATTCTCAAGAGATGATGTTTGAGCATCACCACTCTCAGGTGTACCTACCATTTGTAATGACAGATACAAGGATCCTCCCCGCCCCCACTCCCAGCTCGGCCTCAGGACCATGAGTAGGAGGGGGTGACCACAAGCTATAACAGGGTACCCTTCTTGTGATGATACCAAATGAATCCAGCAACTATTTAAGTGCAGCTTTATTTTAAACAGGAACTCATGAATACCAGATAATATGCTTTTATGACATAAATTGGTTAATTAAGATGATAAAGAATATTAGGAGGATGCCTTGTGACTGTTAAGTAGTATTTTCAGTGTTTTGTAATAAATCAAATTAGTGATCTAATATCTGAGGTATCCTTTTCAATATTCTAAGAAAATCAGTACTTTTAGCATCTAACCAGCTTCAGATAACTAACTGATTAACTTTTAACATAAAGACAGCACTATATAGTACATTTACAGTTTGCATTGATATTGACATATTCCCAACCCTTCTCAGAAAGTTAATGACCGTCTGAAATTCATTTCTACCATTTATAGTTTTTGACCCTTTGTCATAGATATGTGTAGTATTTTATTCAATACCTCGTATTTAAAATCAGATAGTTTGATGCTTATGACATTTTTTGAAAATATAAGGTTAAATTTACTTTTTCTTAAAATTTGAAGTAAATTTTACAAATTATCAAATGCTTTATTCTACAAATTGTATTTTTAATAGTTTTCAGGACATAAATGCATATTCAGAGACTATCTGGAATGTACGGCTGCTCTTTTTTACATGTCCTTATAAATATAAATAACTTGACAAATATGAAAACGTTATTAATTATAATTTCCATTTCTCTGTAGGAAATTGATGGGAAGGCTCTGCTACTACTCAAGAGTGATATGATGATGAAGTATATGGGGCTGAAGCTGGGGCCAGCATTAAAGTTATGTTACTACATTGAAAAACTTAAAGAAGGAAAATATAATTAAAAAAAGGTGTAAGTTTGGATTGGACATAATTCTCAGGTGTACTGATACTTTTAAAAGTATTTTTCTTCTCTTAGAAGTTTTTGTTTTATAGAAAGTTCCTATAAAAATATTTTATCAGAATTATAGAACTGAGTTAACAATTGAGTCCACTTTTTAAAAAACCATTTAACATGTTAGTATTAGCACATTCAAATTGGAAGTTTGTTCTTTTTCTGTTCATTATTTCATTGTACACTTTACATACGTCTGGAGTAAACACAGAAAAACCTTTGATTTTGGTTAATCTTTATATCTAGAACCAAAACAGCTAAATCCCAAAGGGGAAAATATCATGGATTGACAACATATATAATTAAATCCATGAGAATTTTTCCTCAACAGAGAACTTAAAGGTGAACCTATAGATATCATCTCTTCATCAAATATTTTATCTGATACTCTTCAATAATCTGTTCGTGTTCTACCAGTTTCCAGAAAAGGGAATAGCCATATAAATTATTTTCCCTTCTTTTATTATTTCTCTATATGTTGTATTTGTTCATATTTAAAGGAAAAAAGCTTATAAGCTTTCATAAAGTGTTCTTATCAGTTTTTAATAAATTTTTTAAACCTATAGGTTAGATAGAATGATAATTTTATGCAGGAGATATTTATACTACAAGGGTGGTTTGGATGGAGTCTTTAAAATTTTTTCAATGAAATGCCTATTATTTTAAAACTTTACATATTTTCGCTAAGCTTGGATGTATAACTAGGCATTCAGTTCTCACATCTCTATATGAAGATACCTGTGTCCAAATTTTTAAAAGATATATTTTATTGTATGTGCTTATTCTTCATATGATACTTTACCATATTTATATATTCTATACCTGTAGGTATACACACAAGTAAATCTTTTCTTTTTGAATATGGCACTTTGCACTGCCACAGAGGTAATGATGAACTATGTATATAGTTAGATGTTTTTATTTTGTTAAAAAAATATATGTGCATTGTTTGTATCACCAGTACCTCTCAGCTTACTCTTCAGGGGATAAGAAACAATCCATAGATTGGTTTTCATACAGGGAAGTTCTCTGTCCTATGCAATGTTTCTAATTAATTTGCTTAGTTCTGAGCCATTTTTTCTGCTACACTTTGAAAGATACGTTAGTTCTGACTTAATTGTTTGAGGCTTTATAAGTTAGAACCTTTAAGAGGAAATGGTGCTATATGTTTATTGTTATTACTTTGTGTAACTTTGGTGTAATGTTTATAATCTATGAGAATTAGTTATAAAAGTATTAGCCATTTGTTGTAAATGCCAATAAAATGTTCACCAGGGGCAAGAATGTACATTTTCTTTTTAGAAAACCAAATGTTCTTTAGGCTTGAATGCAACTATTTAAAAAATGGCTTCATCTATGTTATTCCTTATATGTTATAAGACAAGATTTGTACTTAAAAACTCGGTCTTCTTTCAAATTGTTTATATGAAGATGCTGTACCCAGTTGAACAGTCCTCAGGTGTTTATATAACTACTACATTTTGTAATTTTCATATTTTAAAATACAATAAAGTTAACTGCAGCAATGAATGTCAAAGCCTCAGGTTTGATTTTACTTACTTTCGCTGCATTACATTAATGTATGAATTTGTTAGAATTGAAAAAGAGTCACTCTAGTAACTAGTTTGTGGCTTTATATTTCCAAATACTTGAATTTTTAAATCTGCCCTGATTCTACTGGTAAACAGATAACCTAGGAGCAAAGAGCTGATTTCTTATCGGGGCCTTAAATGAGACCCAGGGGACCTGTAAGAAGTTATATCAACAAGCTTTATCTCTGCTCATAATACTATGGATAACGTGAGCATGCTAGAAAATACCAGTGCCCCTCAGATATCTCATCCTGTCTTGAGTTCACACACCTGGCTGGCAACTCTGGTGGGCACCAGAGGCCGCCTCCCAGGTGCACCTGCTGTTGGCCTTTTGCCTTCAGATGGCCCAGCACACGTCGCGGGATATCCTCGGAGAATCAGGGTTACAGCTGAGTAGCCTTAATTATCTGCCCTCCACCCCCACTCCAGGAGCCTCTGCTCCATGCCGAGGGCCCCAGAAACTCTTAGTGCTGTTGCTGCTCAGCGGTGTGTCCTGCTGTTCACTGGAGACAGTGGGGCCCTGACTGAGGCTCCAGGGATGATGATCAACGGACAGGACCGGGAGTGCCAACTTGAGTGGTCTGAGACTTGGGTAATTAGGTGCCCCTTTTTTTCCCTATCTGGTTTGTAAATTTTTAGTTCAGAGACTATCATGCCATATTACCCTTCACGTGCATTTTCCAGGCTTCTCAAATGATCTTTCCTCATGCTTTTCCTCTCAGTCCATCCTTTGACCCTCCAAAGCCAGCAGAATTCTGTACCTTGAGCTCTAAGACCTTCCAGGCATACCTAACATTGTGTTGGTCTTTCGTCTGTGTGATTTCTCACTGTTGGAATGTCTTAGAGTACATGTTCTAGAGTGAGATTTCCCACACTGTTAAACCTAGGCGTCCTATGGGCATAAAAATGCCATGCCCTTCTGTAATATTTGAAATTAAAACGTAAATATTGTGCCTAGTAACAATGTAATGAGAAAAAAGCACTGCTTTTTCATGCTACAGAAAGGATTGTACTCACGGTTGGCTGAGTAAATGAAATAGGTTTAAATTTCTGGGGGCTCTTTCTGCAGCCTGGTGCTGGGCCTTGTGTACAAAGTCCTCTGATGCTGATCCAGGCGGAGAGGGAGGGCTCTAGGCTAGAGAGGACGTACAGACGGGCGCACCATTGCAGTGCGTGGAAGACAGTTTTCCTTCCTCTCCCTCGCTGGTGTTTGCCCCGTTTTGTCCGTCAGGTTGATGAAATTGGACCTTGAGAGCAACTCCCCACAGTAAGCACATACTCGGGCTGAGCTTGGCCACTCTCACTGCCGACCTAGAGGCAGCTCTAGTGTTACAGCGTCGCGGTCTCTGGCTTAGGGGCACTCTCAGCACTGAGGGGAGATCCTCAAGAAATAAGGGACCTGACTCCCAGGACCCCTTGAGCTGCCTAGAACATAATTGAGTTGAACCAAGATTCACGAAAAGGAGAACCTCAAGACGCTTATGATAGAGCATGTGAGTCAGCCCCAAGTGACAATAAGTGGTGTGTCACAATGCTTCAGTAGTTGTGTGTCTCATTCTTCAGCCAAAGAACCAAAGCACTTAAACACCTTTCTTTGTGGAAATAATCCCTCGGGCAAGGGGGCGGCCAGGGCAGGGTTATGGCCTCTGCAAGCCCCACTCCACCTTTGGCCTCACCTCTCCACTTGCTTTGGCTGGCCTTGGATGCTCAAGTCCACAGATGTCAGGGGCAGAGTGGGGTGTGCACACTCTACTGGGGTAGAAGTCAATTCAGTGGGAGCAGGACATGTATATTCCACCTTCCTTTTGTATTCACGTAAGAGGAGAGAGGGGAAGCTTCTCTGCAGTTAACATATGTCTTCACTAGTGTAGAGTGTGCAAAAGTGCTGCACATTGTCGGTACCTGCCACCATCCCAGCTCTTCTCGGTTCCTCCCCATTAGAGGCATAAACCCTGGAAGCGATACTTCCACCCTCCTTTGCCAGTAGAGTTGGCTTCTTAGATTCACGCCCTGTCGTGATTTTGGAAGGAGGAAGGTAAGGAGAATCAATTTCCCTCTGGTGGCTGCACAGGCCAGGCCTTTGAGTGTCCGTGGCAGATGGGTTTGCCAGCAGCCTTTGGCTGTGGTCTTGGTATTCACTCCCTTCAGTTGTGCAGTTGAGACCATGGGGAAGCTTCCCTGCAGTCCTTGCCCTCCTGGATTTCTAGAGACTTCCTCACCTTGGACCCCAGCCTTCCCGCAGCTGTATAAGCTGGTAATGTATTAAACCACCTCCATTCTGAAGACTTAGAATGGTTTGTGTGTTCCTCGTCGAACCCTGACTCATTCACCTCCCTCAGCATGTCCGTCCTGTAGAGGTTGCCCACTGTTCAGAGAAGTTCCACAGAGAGGGGCCTTTATATTACTATTACTTCGTTTAAATAAACTAGTATAGACTAAATCTAAGACTCCTTTGATTGTAAGATGAGCCATTGTTTAATGGACCAAATAGGAAAGGAAATGCTGTCTATTAAACGATCACTGACCATTGATTATAATATGTAAACCAATTTCAAAGATGTTAAAATGTGCAAAAAATGACTGGCATAAATGTCCACTCTCAAAATGTCCACTCTCAAAAGCTGAACAGGTGGTTGTAAAAGGTTAATGTAAAGAAACTGCATTAACTGAATTGAAGGTGAATAATGTAAGCCCAAGGGAACAGCTAAAAACTGGCAGAGCTCATCTGAGCTTTGCAACAATCACAGCACAAATTAAAACAAAAGCAATCTAATCAGATCTGCCCAAACTCACAACTACAAAGGAGACTTTGAAATGTGACATTATATCCATTGTCATAAGCAAAAAGCCTTATCGTAAACGTATGTTTTCCCTTTAGGCATTAGCTGATACTAGGATGAAGCCATCACATTTGAGCAAGACATTTAACAAATGCAATCCAGCAAGGGAAAAAAAGAGGAAGTTAGAATGGTTATAGAATACATGTCAACCACATGCAATGCCCAGACCTTGTTTAGGTCCTATGAAAAGAAGCCAACAGTGAAAAGGCATGTATGAGACAATCCAGGAAAAAGTGATGTTAGATGACACTAAAGCATTATTATTCATTTTGAACAATGGTGCTAATGGTATTATGATTATATTTTGAAAGGGTGGTGCCCTTATTGCTTAGAAATACATTATAAAATCTTACAAATTAAATGAGATGATATCTCGGATTGCTTTGAAAGAATCCACCAGGGAAGGAGGTGTAGATGAAACAGGAGTGGTTTGATGTTGATAGTTGTTGAGGCCATACATGGGAATCCATTATACAAATCTCTACTATGATGTATGTTTGAAAATTTCTATAATAAAAAGCTTAAGAAAAGTATTCAGAATATGCAGACACATTGCTCTGTTTTCAGAAATGTCTAGAGAAAAGCAAAATTCAATCTACCGAGAATTTCAGTAAATTAATGATAAATATTTAGACTCCTTGCTTGACATTTCTTAGTATTAGTCAAAAACAGGCCACCCACAACTAAGAAACACCTGTTCTTCCTGATGTGGTTAAAAAGGAAACAAAGTTGAAGTAATAGGTTTAAAACAATAGGGTGCAAAGCGTTAACTCTCCTTTGTCCACAAATATTATTGGGAAGCACGTAGAAAACATCAGGAAGAATTGAAGAGACAAATCTAAGATAAATCACAGCATGGCAGGCGTGCCATTCTGTTGCATGAAAATAGAGATGTTTCTGAAACTCCTCAGCTTATGGTGGGATCTGAGGGTGCTTTCTGGAAGAAGCGATGATCAGAAAGGGAAGGCCTTCAGCCCTTCACCCCCACCCTCCACACTCTGCCCTCTTAAATGTGCCTCCACCTCTCCCACCTTCTGGTGAATCCCTGGAAGTCTTACTGCCAGGCTTGATCGCTGCAAAGTTGCTAGCAGCTCTGCGGTTGTTTACTCCCGTATTATCTCTCTAGTTCATTTGCTTTTCAGACAAAGGGATTAATTTCCCTTTCCAAAAAAGCCTCATGACTCATATTTGCCAATATGCCCTGTTCCCGTGTGTTCACAAGTCTCTCCCTGCCAGAGAGCCCACCCAAATCTACATCACCCGTGAACCATGTCACTACCAGTGCTTTTCCATGTTCACAAAAAACCCTGCTTCCGCTGGTAGTTCCAACTCTTAGAGCAGCCCTTGACGCGTGTCAGCAGTTGCATCACTGTCACGTGAAAGCTAGCCAGGTTTGAAATCGGAAAATTCTGACCATCACCCCACTTACCAAGGTTTCCTCTTGTTAAAGTTAGATCATGAAGTACGGGCGTTAGTGGGTTCCATGCTTCACCTCTTGCCTTTCCCTCCAGGTTAGGTCGATTCCAAACCACCGCAGCAACTCTCGCAAGGAGGCAGAGAGACTGGTCCATTCTTGGAGTGGAGCCGTAGGGTCCAGCCTGTGACCCGACGGGGGCAGCACTGCATGGAAGCCGAGGCAAGAAGAGCCGGACGGAAGCACTTTGGCGAATTGTATTTTTAAAGCCTGGTGTGAAAGAAGCAGACGTGAATAGGAGAAACGCCCCAAAGGTGCTAAATATCTGATGGGCAGCTCGCATAGAGCGTAACCTAAATAGGCACAACGCTGGACCTCAGAAGGTTACGGTCTGTCTGGAAGAACAGCATTAAAGAACACAACAGCGAGGGAATTTATAAGTGCAAGCTGTGGCAAAGTGACCTTCACCTGGTGGAGATGAATGTGCACTGCTGCCTGAGGATGTGTCACTTCTGCCAAGACCTGAAGGGCTGGGGCAGGGGTGGGAGTGTTTTAAGGTCAAGCCTGGAGCAAGGTGGCTTCTGTCCACAATGCGCCTGTACCTCTTCTAGTGGCGTGTGGGTTTTCTTGTAAACGTCACCCGACACAATGTGAACATTTTATTGATCGCCTTTATCTTTTCCC